ATATCGAATTCTTAAAAATCAATAAATATTATACTAGAAAACTTAATCCTGAAGTCTTGCATCGCTCTTCCACCCCAACATGTAACAGGTCACCAAGTCCTGTTGCTCCTCCTCCTCTGTATCTCCCACGACAATCGCCTGCTTTCTTGATTGAATTGCTTTAATACGCTCCTAATTGCAATTCTATCATTTAATCTCTTTTTTGATTCTCAGCCTTTGCCCCCACATTCAATCTCTATTCTATTGTCAGAATAGTACATTTATGTACTTCCTAGCACATAAATATAATATCCTACCCTGATGTGTAAAAATACCTAACAATAAAGATCAGTATTATAAGTGCCTCAAAATCATATTCTTTAGCAAGGAACACATGCCTCTCTTCTTCTGGTCTTAAACTGAATTCTTTGGCTTAATATTCCCATCATTTAGGCATAGTTAGTGTGTATTCACTCATAAGAAACTACCAAAAACCAAAGCAAAACTCACTGCCATCCAGTGAATGCCAATTCATGGCGCCCCTCCAGGGCAGGCTAGAACCGCCCTTGTGAGTTTCAGAGACCACGACTCTTGGTGGTTTCAAACTGCGGACCTTGCAGCCCAATGAGTAACTACGGCTCCACCAGGGCTCCCATTAGACTTTTATGGTTTGGGCCCAGATAATATTTGTTTTGCCTGAAATCACCTGTCTCTTCTCCCACAGCTTCCCTTCTTTACTCGCTCTTGTCTCCCCACAGTCTCCGATTTACCCTTCAGGATAAAATTCAAATCCTGTCTCCCTGGTGATCCTACCGTCTTCCCGCTCTCTATGGTCTTGGAGAATTTAGACAGTAAGCTTGTTGAGAGAACACACTTTAAATAATTATCTTTATTTCCCTATCCTTAGGAGACAATAAACATCTCTGACTTAAGTAAATTTAGCATGGATCCAAGTTAATTTATTCATATATTGACATAGTACATTCTATGTAGTGAAGTGATGACAGAACAGATGAATGCAAAAAGTTTTAAAGTCATCAGAAAAAAGCAAACAATGTATATATCTTATTTCAGGAACAGCATAACCCCCATATTTCAAAAGTTGGTGTTGATATCCCTTGTTTGCATATGTTCTAAATTTGAATTTAATGAGCAGGGATATCAACGGGGTTCAGCCTGGTGAGTAAAGGAAAACAGTCCTATCTCCCGGTCTGGCTGCCTCTATAGGCACCGAAGGGGAACAAGCAAGCTCTGCGGATGCTATTCTGGGTGTTGACACAGCCACAATGAAGGGATAATGACGCATGTCACTGGTGGTGGCAGCAGCACCACCTTGCAAAAAGAAAATCAAGTTTCACTAAGTGGTACTTCAAAAAAACAAACCCACTGCTGTCCATTGTGATTCATAGCGACCTTGTAGAACAGACCCAAAGGAGCCCCTACAGAATCAACTGCCACCGCTTTCTCCTGCCTAGCCGCTCATGGGGTCAAACCACCAGCCTATGGATTAGCAATCCAGTGTCTAACCACTGTACCACAGTGGTTCCTCAGTGTACGCTACGGATCAAACATGAGGTATGCATTCAGGGCGATATGGCTATAGACAGGTGATGACCTTTCTTATGTGGACAGAAAGTACACTCCACTTGGAAAAAAAAGTATTATATAACACAGCAGATAAAAAGTTTCTGTATGGCTGAAAATACATATTATTGTAGTCTATGGTGACTATGTAAAAATCAACAGGATATTCAAAAAGGACTGAAGAGTCTAGAGATAGAAAATAAAATAGGTTAAAAATTTTTAGCTAATTCGCGGAGATGAGCCAGTCAGGGTGCGATGTAACAACGATGAAAAATACAACTTTCCTCTAGTTCCTAAATATTTCCTCCCCACTCCCACTACCATGACTCGAATCCGACCTTGCAAGTCTGGCTAGACCAGAGGATGTACACTGGTACAGATAGGAACTTGAAATACAGGGAATCCAGGGCGGATGAGCCCTACAGGACCAGTAGTGTGAGTGGCGAAACAGGGAGGGTAGAGGGAGAGCGGGTTGGAAAGAGGGAACCGATTACAAGGAATTATATGTGACCTCCTCCCTAGGGGACGGACAACAGAAAAGTGGGTGAAGGGAGACGTCAGACAGGGCAAGATATGACAAAATAACAATTTATAAACTCTCAAGGGCTCATGAGGGAGGGGGGAGCGGGGAGGGAGGGGAAAAATGAGGACCTAATGCCGGGGGTTTAAGTGGAGAGAAAATGTTTTGAGAATGATGAGGGCAATGAATGTACAAATGCGCTTTACACAATTGATGTGCATATGGATTGTGATATGAGTTGTATGAGCCCCTAATAAAATGCTTAAAAAAAATTATTTAATTATTATTAAAAGTTCTAATTTTCTAAATCTTTTTAAAGTCAGCATCTATTAGTTCTCCTACTTGATATTTTCCAATGCTATTTCAATGAAATCCTCTTTAAAAATTAAACTTATTTTTAATACCATTGGGAAGGCTAATACAAATATTTATGAACCGGAGTTTATTTTAATGCAATATTACCTAATATTAATCATTAACAAAAACTTTCTAAGAATAACTGATAATTCCACAGCAAATTAAAAGGATTAGAAGTTGGGTGATAGATATGTGTATTAAATATGTAAGGACATTTATGATATCAACTTTAAAATCAGAAAAATTCATCTGAAACTAAATTACACTAAAAAAAATACTCAAAGTCAATCTGTAAAGAAATGCCTATTCAAGTCACAGAGAAAAATCTTCAAAGTAACTACTCCCTGGTTTCCTAAATGTACAAATTATAAAATACGATCCATGACAAAATAAAATTCCTCTAATATAGAGATACTAATCAAAAACATATACCTAATAGCTCATCATTTGTACTCACCATACCGGTGAGAGAAAAATACAACAGACTTATCTTTCATTGCTTTTCCCTTACCATATACCTTGCACATTTCAATGCTATGAGAGAAGATAAAATTTTGATACTTTTACCTCCCCAAATGGACTGTAAAACTGCACAGTGTTTACATCCTTATCCTGAGTGACTGCCTTCTGGGATCCTGCCACAGCTAACACGCTGCCAGTGTGATTCCACTGGATACTGACCACATACATGCCGGTGTCAATTAGAACAGGGTCTAGTCACACACACAAAAAGGAAAAGAAAAAGTAGGTAAATGCTGCTAAAACTCTTAAACTTAGAGAACTTTACAACCTTAAAAGAATAATTCTTAAAACTTATTCTTAACTTGCTACATTAAAAAAAAAGTACTTACTTTGGTCATTCTCATGTCTCATTATTTGGCATCTTCCATTATCAAAACAAAGAGCGAGGCAAGGACAATCCGGCTCCACGTAGCCTTCTGTGCCATGGTACCAGTGGATGCCAGCGATGCTGATTGCTCCAGTGACATTCACCAGGCAGCTGAGCTTCATTTTCATCTAAATGAAATCAGTACATTTTAAAACAGATCACTCTAAACAGAGCGTGACAGAAAGACCATTGAAAATTGAATTTTAAAAATCTAGTTTCAAATGCAAGCTCGACTACTTCCTGTTTCTCTGGCCTGGGCAAACACGGACACCTAAGTCTCAGTTTTCCCCATAGTGAAATGATGATTAAAGAAAAAGTGACAGAGTCTTTGAGTCTCAAATGAGATGAGGTGTAAGAAGATACTCTGTAAATAGTAAAGCATCATATAACAGTTAACCATCACTACATCCACTAATGACTGGCTTTCTGAATGTCCCCACCCTCACTAAAAATAAAACTGTCCATCATTAAGGTCAGAAACCTATCATGGTTAAATTGTTCAACTGTTTAATTGACATATAATTCACCAATCACACAGTTCCATGGTTTAATCTTACTAAAAAGAGCTGTACAATTATGATCACCATCATTTTTAGAACATTTTCTTGTTCCTTAAACTCATTACTATTAATTAGCTCCCCATTTCCCTACTCCAACCTCCTCTACCATAGCCCCAAGAAACTATACCCCAAAAAAAATAACAAAATAAAACATGAAAAACTCCAATCAAAAAGAAAGAAGAAAGTATTAAAAACTAGAACAAATTAAAAATAGGTCAAAAGGAGAACAAATGATAGGGCGTTAAATTTCAACCTAACTCTAGCTGCATTAATCCACTTCCTAATGTACTCTTGTCTGGTGTAACGCCAAGATTGGTTTGTGAGATTATACTAGCAGACTCTTTAGTATTCTGTGTTCTTTCTAGATCTTAATTTTTCATCCTTGCTTTTACATCTCCCATTCTCTTTACATTCTTTTTTATCATGAATTTAAAATGTGTATTGTACCAAATACCACAAAGAAACGGATCAAAATAATATATGAATAAGTTTTAAATTTTTCTACATATTGACATTGGTATCTATTCAACTGATCTAAAATATAAAGTCCTATAAATCTGTCTTAAGGGAGCTTCAATAACAACATATCCCCAGAACATTTCCCTAAAAGAAATGCTACTTAAATGTATGCATACTGCGATCTTGCTTCCAAGATAAAGGAAATGGTTCCACAAAGTTTGCCATTTTAAAATTAACATTCAGAGAGAGCTGTGGCTTAAGCAAAAATTATATTCAAACGCCCTCATCCCTAAAGTGAAAAACAAACTCAAATGGTTCACATTCACCCAGAAAAGCTATAAATTTTTCAATTTCATGGTGAAATGAGGAACAAACGATTCTGAAAAGTACATTCTTGCTACAAAAATGTCTTTGGTATCTACATGTGCACGTCAGCTTCAGGGATGAGAGGAAGCTTCCCTTCTTCCTATATTTCCACACACCAAAATCACGTCCTCGGCTACCCGGACTTGAACCAAAAGTTAGACTCTTACACGTTGCATTCATTTAGAATTATGTTCATTTAGAATTGTATTCGAATCAACCAAGAATTTCTTTTTAGTAAAAACAAATTTAAAAAAACAAAAACAAATTTTAGACCATTATGAAAAAATACTGAATTAAAATTTTTAATTATACAAATCATCCAATTAAGTGCATATACACATATGAATAATATTTATGAAACTATGATATAAGTTACAAAAGCTAGGACTACATGTGAATGTGTATATTCATATACTTACTATAAAATTCCCTTGATTATCAAAGATGTGTATTTCCCCATTTGCCATTCCAAATAGTAAGATTTTACTATCTGCTGACCATGCTACATGGCATAGCTGTATACCCTTCAAGTCCTTTCCCCAAATACGATTCCCTAAAGCAAAACATAAAACATAATTATTTCACCAATCTTTCCAGACAATGACCTTCCACCATTGTTCTTGAAAGTCTTCACCTCCCTAAACAGATCTTACATGTATTCATCACAAAACTCACGTGGTATCCAGTTGGTATAAACCACAAATCCAAACCCACTGCCATTGAGTCAATTACGACTCATAAGGGCCATATACTGTCAATAAGCATTTATTAAGCTACTACTATGTGCCAAACACCCTGCGAAACATGTTAAGGAAGAGCGAGTTAAAATGTTTCCCTCTCGGTGTGAGTGGCGATACTGGGAGGGTAGAGGGAGAGCGGGTTGGAAAGAGGGAACCGATTACAAGGAATTATATGTGACCACCTCCCTGGGGGACGGACAACAGAAAAGTGGGTGAAGGGAGACATCGGACAGGGCAAGATATGACAAAATAACAATTTATAAACTATCAAGGGCTCAGGTGGGAGGGGGGAGCGGGGAGGGAGGGGAAAAATGAGGACCTGATGCTGGGGGCTTAAGTAGAGAGGAAATGTTTTGAGAATGATGAGGGCAATGAATGTACAAATGCGCTTTACACAATTGATGTATGTATGGATTGTGATAAGGGTTGTATGAGCCCCTAATAAAATGATTTTTAAAAAAAGAAATGTTTCCCTCTCTTTCAATCAGCGAATGAACCAATTTTAAACTCCCTAAAGAAAAGCTTTAAAAAAGAAATTCCTTATTCTAGCTTTAAATACATTAGAATATAACTGACTCCACATGTCTCCCCTTTTGTTACATCCCAATACAAAAGAAGAGGTACCCTCCATCTTGACTGAAGCTAATCTCTCCACTTATTCTCTGGTCAGGTTCTTTCTAACTTTTCAAAACAACCCCACTATTAATTATTCCCCTTCTCTCTTTTGCTTTAAGCTTTTCTCTCCTGACCCTTTCTTATCAGTATTTAAGCACACCTGGCTTACTCCTCATCAAAACCACCACCTCAACTAAAAAACAGAAACAAAAAAACACTGTACATAAGCTTAAATTTTCCTACAAATTCTCACTCACCTCCTGCCATTCCTTTTCCAACCAAAATTCTTGGACAAAGTCTCTGCTTCATTACCTTCCATTCAGCCTCCTGGGCCCATCACAATCTGCCCTATGATGCCACCAAACTGCTGTCAAGAAGGGGGCTTTGACCTACTGTTAAACCTGGTTTTTCGTTTGCACCCCTTTCTTCTTGACACTCTCTTGCCTTGCATGCAAAGCCCTTGGTTTCCTAGACTGAGCTTTTTCAATGTCCTCTATGGAAGTATTTTCCTCTGCCCACCCCTTAATGTTTCTGGTTCTTACAGCACGAATGGTCCATTGGCTTTGCATCTATTCCAATGACTTCAAAAACCAACCTTCTCCTGGTGATTCACAGAATTAAGCCTTCCGTTCTGATATTTTTTAGTTGAAGATTATTATATCTAACCATGAGCTGAGAGTTATTACTTGGATGTCCTATGATATGATAAAACCAACATATCCAAAACTGAAGTCTTCACTCAAAACCAATCTTTCTCCCATACTCGCAATTTCAATGAAAGGCACCACCATCAAAAGGCTACATTTTTGTAGTCTAACCACATCAAGGTAAGTTATATAATCAGGCAGATATATTGAAATATTCCTAAAAAGTTTATTCACTATTTTGAACATATATTTCAAAGAATAAATATTATTTCTTGAGTATATTTTAAAATAGTGCAGACCAGAAAGTGGTTCTTGAAAGTCATCAAATTGGAAACCAACTGTTTTTGTTTCTGTGCATTTTTACCAGCACACTAACATGATCATTAACTTACATCTCTAAACATAAAGAGTATCAATTAAATCCTGATCTGAATGTGGAATCGATGCCTCACCATCCACAAAGCCAACAATCACGGCCCCGTCTTCATACACGATGCAGATCTTCTGTCCATCGGCATTCCAGCTCATACTGCGAACCACGGACTTGTTTCTGTTGTTGATCATTTCTTCATACCAAGAGCCTATTGATATAAACCAAACAAGTTATAAATCAGAGCTTTTACTTAATATCCACTAGAGGTACTTAAAGAGATGAAAATATTCTATGACATATAGAAGGAGACAAATATTTGTAAGTTTTCTCTAAGCTAATTTTTTTTTAATTCACTCCCAGCAAGACGATTTTAACTCATAGTGACCCTATAGGATAGATGAGAACTGTCCCTGGGTGTTTCTGTGGCTGTAAATCTTTACTGGAGCAGACAACCTCCATTGAGTCTCCTTGCATACATTATTATCATTGTGCAGCCACTCCTCCTGTGCTTCACGGCTGGGAGATCCAACAGAACACAATTTTTAGATATTGCACTAAGGTGGCAAGGGTAAAAATATAATAGTGTACACACAAAAATACTAATAATGTGTAGGAAGGAAAAGACCACCAACATTAATGAAACAGCCAGGGAAGAAATTTCTGTCATGGAACCAGTAAGAATTACTTGCACCCAGAACAGATTCAAGTCCCATCTATAGGGTGGCCAACTGGCCTCGTGTCAAGTTTGATCCGGCATAGTCAGGAACACAATCATCTCTGCCTGGTAGTAAGGTGGATGGAGATTCATCTATAGCTAGAGTAGATCTGCCAGTGGCTCAGTCTGACCAGATACTCTGCAGATGGGTTTTGGGAAACTAAACAGTTTTAACTGCATATAATTCTCAAACTATACATTTCAAATCATATTAAAAAGAGTTGAACAATCATCACCACAATCCATTGTAGAACATTTTCTGCATTCTTGTACTCAACATTATAAGCTCCCCATGAAGAAACGGTACAAATTGTAAACTAGCAGCCACAGCAGACTCAATGGCAGTGGTCTTAATACACTTTTAAAGATCACTGAGGGCCTTGTTTGTTGGGGGTTGGGCTGCTAACCACAAGCTCAGAGGTTCAAACCCATAAGTTCCTACACAGGAGAAAGATGAGGCTATCTGATTCCTTAAAGATTTGGTCTCAGAAACCTCAGGGGCAGTTCTACTTTTTTCTATAGGGTCACTACAAGTCAGAATCCGTTCCAGGGCAATGGATGTGGGTTTGGGTAGTATACCTTTATATAACATCCATACGATGATAAGCCCATTTTGATCACTGGTAGTCAACTTCTGATACTGTTCATTCCATGTTACAACTTGAACAGCACCTAGAAAAATTATAAAACAATACAATTGTTTAAATTACGTACAAATATTACAGTTACTTTCAAATTAAGAATTTTACATAAACACCCAAAGCATGTTAAAAACAATATACTTCCTGTTTAATGTCTTTCTTATAGTTGTAGGTTGCCATCAGGTCACCCATAAACAATAGTTTCTCAGAAAGTTTCCTGGTCTTACTCCGCAGCTGATACACTCAAGCCCACTCTTGCATCCTGTATGAAATCTGGGTGTCTTCTAACAGAGAGGGCTTCTAGCACTGGACCAGGCAACAGTCTGTTGTGACCCATGGCATTTTCAGTGGTACATTTCTAAAGTAAGTCTCTAGGCCTTCACAGGTGGGAGACACAGCAGAACACAATTTTTTTTAAATGCATCCTTGTCTGTCTTAGTTTAGGAGTCTTGCTGAAACCTGTCCACCATGGTTGACCCTGCTGGTCCTGGCGATACTGGTGAGTAATATCCACAAAAGTAACATGGACATAAAAAAACAAAAACAAACATATCTTGGAAGAATTACAGCCAGAAGGCTTCTTAGAGGTAAGGCTGGAGAAACTTCATCTCACACACTCTGCACATGTTGTCTCCAGTCTCTGGAGAAGGACCTCATGCTTGGTTAAGAAGAGGAACAGTGAAAAAGAGGAAGCCCTCAAGAAGAGGGGTTGATACCACGGCTGAGACAAGGGTCTCAAACACGGGAAGAGGGGTTGATACCATGGCTGAGACAAGGGTCTCAAACACAGGAACAACTGTGAGGATGTGCAGGACGGTGCCATGTTTCATTCTGTTGCGCATAAGGTCGCTATGTGGGGGAACCAAGTCGATGGCACCTAACAACAACAAGCCACCGCAGGAGA